ATTTAGAGCCCGTGTCCGCTCCTACATGACCGTATTAAAACTCCTGGTTCGTGAAAGAGATTAATGTGAGTTGAGGTCAAACATAATGGATTTCATTTTGGGGAAAATGAGATATGATCGCACTGCTTTTGTCCTCTCTTCCTCGCTGCATTAAGTTCAGTTCTGTGAGACTGGAGGCAAATTGAACTTTTTTCTGCCCCTGGCCTTTTTACGCTGGTTTGCCAAAAAAAGTTTATGTTCTGACTCTTTATTCAAACACATCTTTAAGTTAATTGTTTAAAATAATAGCCCAAACCTGCTTTAACCCAGATTTTTAAATGTGGCATTTAAAATTTTCCTGAGCTTGCATGAGCACAACCCTGATAAACTGATCAGTGCCTACAAAATGAGATTTTATCACTTAATACATCACATTAAATTTAGTGCTTTGGTTATACTGAACTCAGTATTCCAGAAGCCAATACTAATTCCTGAACTATACTTGCTTTTAAATTACAGACTGAAAATGGGTGTGGCTTAATGTAGAAATGAGTGTGAGGTGTAATTACTGATTGCATTCACAAACTGCACTCCAATAAAGAAGCACAGAAGTCAATAAGGTACATGTAGAATCTAATTTCGACAACCAATTATAAAATCTGGAACAAGCATGCTGATTGAATAATGAAGGCTAAAGATGAGACTGACAACTCTGCACTCAGTGGCAGTAATGCCAACCAATCAGCACTCAGTATCTGTAAAGCTAACCAATTAGCACTCAGTAGCAGTAATGCCAACCAATCAGTACTCAGTAGCAGTAAGGCTAACCAATCAGTACTCAGTAGCAGTAATGATGATCAATTAGCACTCAGTAGCAATAATGCCAACCAATCAGCAAATGATAACCAATCAACAATCCATAGCAGGAATGCTAACTAATTAGCACTCAATAGCAGTAATGCCAACCAATCAGTGCTCAGTGACAGTAATTTTGCTAATCAATCAGTACTCAGTAGCAGTAAAGCTATCCAATCAGCAATTGGTAGCAGTAAGGCTAACCAATCAGTACTCAGTAGCAGTAATGATGATCAATTAGCACTCAGTAGCAATAATGCCAACCAATCAGCAAATGATAACCAATCAACAATCCATAGCAGCAATGCCAACCAATCAGCACTCAGTGGCAGTAAAGCTAACCAGTCAGTGCTCAGTAGCAGTAAAGCTATCAGCACTCAATAGCAGTAAAGCTAAGCTATCAGCGCTCAGTAGCAGTAAAGCTAACCAGTCAGTGTTCAGTAGCAGTAAAGCTATCAGCGCTCAGTAGCAGTAAAGTTAAGCTATCAGCACTCAGTAGCAGTAATGCTAACCAGTCAGTGCTCAGTAGCAGTAAAGCTAAGCTATCAGCGCTCAGTAGCAGTAAAGCTAAGCAATCAGTGCTCAGTAGCAGTAATGCCAAACAATCAGCACTCAGTAGCAATAAAGCTAACCAATCAGTGCTCAGTAGCAGCAAAGCTAACCAATCAGTGCTCAGTAGCAGTAATACTAATGTCCTACTGCCCAAAACCTGTTTGCTGTAGAAAAATAGAAATAAACAGATAATTTTCCCTTTGTGTTTTTTTTTAACAAAACATCCTCCTACATTTTAAAATGAAAGGAAGGTCCCGGGCAAGTGGTTAGCAACTATTTTAACTATTTGAATTTAGCCATTTAGCTCCATTCACCCACATTAATTTGGGACTTGCTCACAGGAACCGTCTGGCATTTTGCAGTCATGTTTTTGATGTAAAGTGAGAAATAGGAAAAGGCCAGACCCCTAAAACCGGCACATGTATAACTATGCCAAATTCATCGCTTTAGACCAATCAGAACAACTCCTGTAGCATTTTCTTCTCCACATACTAAATGTAGTTGTTGGATATGAATGGTTCACTCTATCAAACCTCTATCATTCTGAGAATTTAAACTTTCAGAGGAGTTACGATGTTTGCACGTTATGAGGTTGTGCAGATGTCTTTCTAAGTGTAAATAAGTTAACATCAAACCAGCACATTTCAATACACAATTACTGTTTTTTTGCTGACTTTAACATATTGGAGGGGAAAACTAAGCATAAAATGTGCAAAAATTACGGTATACTTTATATTTTAATTTTTTTCAGCAAATAAACAGAAATACTGCACTAAAAATCAAATATTTGACTGAGGGTGTTCAAACTTATGCACACAACTGTGTTCCTTTTTGTGTGTTTTCTTGTTCAAAATGGTTGTTTGTGAAACAAAGTAAAAACCTGAAAAAAATAAATGTTATTAAGGGGAAGTTTAATTAATTAAGCAGAAGAAATAACCACGTTTTTGCATCTGCCTTGAAGGGCTATGTTGGCTAACAATGAATGGAAGCTAGTAGCCATTAATTTGTTTGCTATTCACTTCCATTTATTGTTAGCAATGTTAGCAGCTTTGAAAACTTGAGTTTTGAGTGTGAGCCGCCAATTTGTAAAGAAAATAAAACACACAGGAGTCCATTAACGTTTACATTATACACTTGTCAGTTTATTGGTCACCTTCTGCAGTAAGGTAGATGTGTGTGAGTGTGTGTGTGAGTGTGTATGTGTATGTTTTGATAGTGTGTGTGTCTTGAAACTTGGTGCACCTTCTGTATTTGGCCTCTCGGTTGAAAATGGACCCATTTTTTTGGCTACAATAACACAGAATTACCATGTATTCAAATCTAGATTATTATGTTCTTCTTTTTTTTTCTTGTTCTTCTTCTTTACATGAATCTCAATATCCAAAAGTGAAAAAAGGATGGATGTAAAGTTTGGAGATAAGGCTTTCCGTCACATTAAGAACCCCTGTAAAGTTGATGGCCAAAAGCTAACATTCCCAGGACGCGACCCAGGACACTAAAACTGGCGAAAACAGCGCGAATGGAGACCACATTTTCAGAAAAGAAAGCAAAAAAATAATAAAAAAAACAAACAAAAAAGTATAATATATATAGATAGTTTTATATATAGATTTATATTTATTTCGAAGCTTAAAAGAGTACAGTTAAGACTTCTCACACGTGATATAACCTACGCATTGTCTGAGAGAGTACAATTTAGGCCACTGCTGTCCCCGCTCACGACGTGAACTTAAAAAGCAGAAAAAACCCCAGCGCGAGAACGATTCCTCCAAATCCACTGCTTTTCCCGGAAAAAAATAAAAGCAAAAAAATAGATTTAGGGAAAAAACACCTGACCATACACACACACACACGAAATAGAAAAACAGTCATGTCTAAAAGAGTGATATTGCATTTATAATGCACAAAGAGTTTTCCTGTACAATTGGCTTCTCAGTGGTGTGTGTGTACAAACAACTAAAGGGCTCAGTGAATAATATCTCCGTCGTTGTTGGTGTTTTTCTTGTTTTTTTTTCCTCTTTTTGTTTGTTTTGTTTGTACAGTAGTGCTGTAAACAGGCACACGCAGTATCCGAGAGAAGCGATACGGTCCCCTCGTTTCTCTCGTGGTCTTCATCGTCCTCCTTTGTTCTTTTGTTCTCATTTTTTTAGCAGTGCACATCTGTACTCCATTCCGTCTCAGTCCGGCTGAGAAGCGTGATGTCCTTTTGCGTCCAGCCACTAGTCTGTCCTCATCAGTCTCTCTCTATCTCTCTTGGCCCTGGAGGCTCTGCACCCTCCGTCCACGCTTCGGGAAATGGAGTCCAACTTTGATGCTTCAAACCTGATGGTCCTTTTCTCCATCAGTCCCAGTGATTGTGCAAAATCACGCCGTCTCTGGTATGTCCACACGGAAAGAGCTAACAAATCCTTTTCCGCGCTGCAAAGTGAAAGACATCCAAGGTTAGCAAGCATCAACAGAACACAACAAACAAAAACACAATCACTAAACAGTAAACAATCACTTTAGCAAGGAAATCTCAAATCTCAGCTTTCTTTGTATGATGTTCTCAAAAATCATAGTTGCTGTTTTTTGTTTGCTTGTTTTTTACAGAATTAAAAAAAACACCAGCTGCCATTCATATTATTAATATTATTATTATTGTTAAAATATTATTATGAACAGATCAATAGAAATGCTCCAAAATAACTTGGAGAAAAGTCCATTAACTTCCAATCAAAGTTAAGAACACTGTTTTAGTTTTGAAGATCCCAATTTTAAAAAACACGGTTTTGACAATAGAAAGTTTTAGAACTTTAAAATCGCCACTGTCGGTAATACATTCAAAAAAATGGTAATGTTACAGGAGAAGGAAAAAAATTTACTTTTAATGTAAGTCAATGGAACCAGACATTCTTCCAAGTAATTTTAGGCTGTTTCCTTTGGGCCATTCATCATGATATTTTCACACAATGTAAAAAAACAACAGAAACTTTAAATTATGTCAAAAACTGAAAAACAACAAAATGGAGGTTTTGTTCCAACAGCAGTGAGATTATATATATATATATATATATATATATATATATATATATATATATATATAATGAGCTTTAGATAATAAAGCTGTATCATAATAATTTTGCAAATAATATCAAATAGCCAAACAGCACAGACATCATACAATTTATAGAATTTATATCTACACTCTCTTAAAAAGATTGCACTCTAACAGTTTTAGCAAAGACCATGGTTAATATAGACCTTTTGCATTTTTAAATGGTTCCACAGATTGACGTAGAATGAGCTGCAGATGGTTCTATGTAGCACCTTTTTTGAAAACTGTTCTATGTAGCACCAAAAAGGGTTCTTCTATTGTTGTGATGTCAAGCTTGTCATGGTGGAAGAATTCTTTTTGGTGCTACATAGAACAGTTTTCAAAAAGGTGCTACATAGAACCATCTACAGCACATTCTCCATCAGTCTGAAGAACCACTTCTTGATGCAAAGAACCCTTTAAGCATTCAAATGGTTCTTTGAGAGTTCATGGTTCATTTTCTTTACTAAAGAACCCTTGAAGAACCAAGTGCATAGAATGTATTAAATATAGTGATTGAATCACATAATGCTTAAAATATTTACTACAAATAGGTAAATATATTATTTTTCATTTAATGTCATTTAATGTTCCTAAAATAATTATAATATTGAATACAATATCATAAAATACCTCCTGTCTAACATGTAGTATTTCAATCTACACTCGATATGTTAAAATAATAGAGATAAATATGAGATGAGAGAGCAGTGGTAAAAAATAAAGAGCAAAAAAAATGCATTAAGGAGAAATAAAAGGTATTTCTTAACATCTGTTTATTTTTTTTCCCTTTCATTCATTTACTTTTGAATATTTATTTGCTTTTCAAGATATCTTTTGGTTCATTTGTCATGAAACATTCACACAGTGCAAATGGCAGCTTTTGCTTTCAAAGCACAAAGAAAACAAACAAATAATGGTGATTTTTTTTTTTTTTAAGACAGCGACGAAACATTCGTTACTAAAGCTGGAATTAATCTGTTTACTTCATTAATGTCATTTTCATTCAGAAAAGCTTTGCATATCAGCTCTGATAAACAGGTCTCTGTTTGCTTCACGCACACACACACACACGCAGAACACACACCACCCACACACAACCTCCTTTCACATCCAGACAGCAGCACTCAAGGCTCTCCATCATTTCCCCATCACGTCCACACGCGCCTGCGTCATCTTTGGGAAAATAAACAGGCTGCTCAGCTCGGAGCTGGCAGGGCAGATCTGGAAAACGCTCGTTTGAAGTATCTGAACTATCTGAACTGATTGTTGATGCGGCCGATCACTGCACTGTCTCCCAGAGTGTATTTCTGTCCACTCGTGAGACAATGGCCAGACTCCGCCGCTCTCTGTCCTCCCTTTCCAGCTATTTTTCACCCGTTTATTTTGGGAATGGACAATCTGCAGAGAGCCTGCAGCCTGCTCTCAGATATCTGAGGATGAAAGGATGATCTTTCTGTCCTTTTCTTTTAGAAAGAGGGCCAAGAAGCACTTTTTGAAAGGGCCAATAGACCGCAATTCTCTAATATTCCATTATTTTTCGGTTCTATGCATGAAAATCAATGAACATTTTCCCACCTCTGTTCATCCCTTAGAATTAGACAGGCTGTTTACATCACTGTGCCTTTAATATAGATGTACAGTTGCTATGCGAAAGTTTGAACCCCCTGGTCAAAAGGCATGTTTTGTTGATTTTCTATGTAAAAACAAGTTAACACAGCCTGTACAGAGAAAACTTTTCTGTAAATTTTAGTGCACAAATTGGTCACAACTTTTGCACAGGCCACCTTTTATGGCTTTTTTCCCCCACAATATGTTAAATTCATATAATAAACAGTAATTGTGTATTAAAATGTGCAGAAGTGTGTTCTCTGTAGAGGATGTGTAACTTATTTTCACAACAACAAAAACAAAACATCACTTGACCAGGGGTGCACAAACTTTTGCATACTATTGTACAACGATTCTGGTTTAATTTAGTCATAATTCATTTTTATGAATCAAACGGGCTGTTTTTGTTACCTTTAAGACTGATATATATGCAAATGAGCTCTGTTCTGATTGGCTGCCCTGTATTGTGCCTGGTTCAAAAGGCAGTCAGGACTGGAACACTATAACTTCAGTGTAAACGGGCGGAGCTAAAACAGATGTATGTAAATGTATGTGTGGATTTGTGACATCACAAAAACAAATTCAGCTGTTCAATGTTCACATACTACACCCTCAAAAAGATGGTTCTTCAAGAGTTCTGTAACAAAGAAAATGGTTCTATATAGAACTATATACACTCAAAGAATCCATTGTATGATTAAAGGGTTCTTTGCATCACGAAAGTGTTCTTTAGATTGATGAATATGCTGTGGAGAGTATCTATATAGAACCTCGATGTAGCACCAAAAAGAGTTCCACTATTGTTACAAGCCAAAGAACCAATTTTTGGTGCTATATACAACCATTTTTGCCAAGAGTGTACATAAAGCTGCTTTATTTCAAAGCTAGAAAAGAATTTTGATTTTTGATGAAATGAGCCCTTTAAGATTCCTCAAGGCAAATATGATGCAATTTAATTTATCTATTTTTTATTTTATTTTATATAGTTTAAAGTAAAGGGCTGCCCTTATTATCAGAATACACACACACACACACACACACACACACACACACACATACATACATATAAGTTTGTGCACCCCAGTGAATTCACGTTTTGTGAAAATAATTACAGAGAACACATTTAATGCACATTTTAATACATAATTACAGTTTATAATCTGAATTTTTAAAACAATGGCCTGTGCAAAATTTATAGTACATTTTTTCAGTTTAAATTTTCCATGTTTTATTTTATTTTATTTTATTTTTTTCAATTTTTAAATTTAGCAAATTAAAATAAGACATATTTTTTGCAAATTTCAGTGCACAATTTCTATTTATTCGCTGAATTTATCATCCTGGGGGAAAATATGTTCAATATAATAATAATATTTCAATTTTTAAACCTGGCAAGTTTAAAGATGGCATTTTTGTGTAACATTTCTATTTATTTGCTGAGTTTAACATTCTGGGAAAAAATGTGGCCTGTGCAAAAATTATGTCACATTTTACATGTTCTAATTTTTTATTTTAATTTTTTCCTTTTCAATTTTTTTCAACTAAGCCAATTTGAATATGGCATTTCGCAACTACTAGTGCACAATTTCTATTTATTTGCTGAGTTTAACATCCTAGGGGAAAAAAGGGCCTGTTCAGAAATTATGGAACATGTTATATTGCAACACATGACATCTTTTGCGAAGGCCAAAGCTTATTATTTATTTTTCCCCTAATATGTAAAATTCAGCAAATCAACATATCGCTGAAAAACTATCACCATTTTTAACGTTTTGAATTTATTGAAAATACCTATGGCTCTTTATGTTGTATGTAAATTTCATGATGAATGGGCCAAAAGAAATGGCCCAAAGTGACTTGGAAAAAAGTCTGGTTACATTAAATGTAAAGTAGGTTTTTAGGTTCTCTTGTAAAGTTACCATTTTGGAGAGGTTTTCTTCCCACAACAGTGATATGCAGTAGTATGTTCTCTGTAGAGGGTGCATTAACTTATGCTCACTTACAAAATCAACAAAACATGTCATTGGACCAGGGGCGCACATACAGCATCACAAGCAATTTCTCCTGCTGAACCCAAAATAAGAATTTTAAATAAAATATACATTATGAATATGCTAGTGTTACATGGATTATGAATGCTTGAACTAGAACATTCATTTGAATCAGAGTTTAAATCCAACATTAATGAGAGCGGAAAAAGGTGGAAGAGGAATGGCGGTGAGATGGAGGAGGAAATGCAGGAATGTGATTGAAGGAACAGTGGATGGAGGAGCAGAGGAAGGAGCAGAAGGAGGGTGGAACAGCACTTCACGCCAGAGAGTTCAGGAGGAGCTTGGAAAAAAAGGGCTGAATTTAGCTGGGAACCAGTGGTGGCATTTTGCAGAAATCTGGCACATGGCAGAGTGACATCACAACATATCTGTCTTTAACGTAAAAAAGCCTTTACAGATTTTTTTTTAGCCTAACAGCCATGATTTATCACATCATTATTTAAAAGGCAAAATTCTTGTTTTCTTTTCTTTTGTCATTTTCTTCTAAAATGTCTTCTGGCTTTTGATTACATCACTGCAGACATATAGGCAGGGAACATAATTTTAACCTAGCTTAGAGACCCTCCCTCATACTGCGTTTCACTTACACAGTAGGGAAGAAAATTGTGTTATGATTTCTCTTTTTTATTCTAGTCACTATTTATTTGTTTATTTACTTTTTAGAAGATTTGAAAATTTCATTTACAACATATCAAAAACTCATTATACTTAGACCAAAATTGCTTTTAATATAATATTGTTACATTAAAGGTTACATTTTTACATTGAACATTAAAAGTGTGTTTTTCTTCTCCTGTAAAGCCACTTTTTTGGAGATTTTTTGAGAAAAGTTCCTTATTTAGAGAAAGTTTAATGTCGCTCCCTTGTGGTTAAGTTTCAGCTTGCTAAACATGAGTGAGTGAGTTACAAACCAGGTTTTTGAGGTCACACTCAGTGTCCTCCTGCAGGTCCACATCACAGATTACAAATCAGTCTAATTGACGTGTTCATGCTCCGCCCACAAATGCATTCTTTTTTAGCTACTGTTGCAAATTCGGACAGTTTTTACAGAATGTTTGCAAAACATTCAACCTAATAAAAAATTGAAGGTCACAGCTTTCAAAAATTAAGATTAAAGATTAAGTTTTATTGATATGTTGCAGTTATCTTGCATGGGTGTATGGAGTAAAACTGTTAGCTAAGTTTACGTGTAGTTCTTTTGTTATGTGATTGAGGCTGCTAGCTAGCTAACTAAGTCAACATTATAGCTTACACCACTAGCTACTGTAGCATTGCTGAAATTATTTGCAATTACAGTAACATTACCGCAAAACCAGTAAGCACAGACAAAATGATGCTCTGAGCCAGTGGTAACTTAGCTAGCACCATTTAGACAGCTTAAGCCAGACAATGTATTGCTTATTTGGTCAGATAATTGTCCCTAATTATAATTACATCAGTCTTTCCCAACAACGCAGTATTTCAAATGCATACAAAATAAATGGAATTTGAAATTGCTATGACAAAAATTTAGATGTTTTGACAAAAGTTATTCATTAGATTAAGTGAGATATTCCAATACAGTTCAATTCAAATGTATTTGTAGAGTGTTTACGGCAGACGTCAACTCAAACGCAACAGTGGTGAGGAAAAACTCCCTAACAGAATGAAACACGAAACCTTGCAAGAAGCCAAAACTCAAAATATGAACCGATTATTCGCTGTAAACCCTGCAGAAAGAATGCATTTGTGGTTGTGGAGTGGATTTAGGCACGGTAAATCTGAAGCTAGATCATCTCTATCATGTTGCTGTTGTATGGAATTTACCACACTCTGCCAAATGTGAACGCCAACTCTGCCTGGAGAAGGTCAGACAGTGGGAAAAAGAGAGGGAGGTAAGGTAGAGAGAGGTAGAGAGAGAGTGGATGGGTATGCTCTCTCTGGGCTGGGATACTTACACGGATAGTTGGCTTTGTAAGGCGTGCGCGAGTTACACAGAAGCGCATCGCACTCTCTCCTATCTAGCGTGGAGGCGTGGAGGTGCTGTTGGTGAGGGTGTTGGTGGTGTTGGTGTGTGTGGAGTGGCGGCTCTTTGCCGAAGGTGGAGAATGATGAGTGATCGCCCACGGTCAAATCGCCCTCAAATACCTCAGTGTCGGGCACGGCGTCCATGCCCGGGACGTGCAGGTTGCTGCGGTAATCCGCGCCCTGCCGGGACTCTGTGGGCACGAAGCTGGGCATCCAGCAGCGGTCTGAGTGACCCAGGGCTTTACACTCCTCCGTGCAGTTCGAGAACAAATCTGCTCCTGTGGGGAGAGAAAGAAGGGGGTTCAATTCTAAACACAGTGCACTCCGTATGGTTTACAGACGCTTTATAGAAATCTGTGTGCAAGAGTAACAGTGCCGAGAAAGAACTCTGAGAACATGAGAAGAACCAGGACTCAAAAGTGGTTAACATTGGTGGTTAACTCATTTGAACAATTTGTTTATATTCAATTTCTATGATATTCTAATATCAGCATCACCTTGTTTTAAGGAGCACATACTGGATCTTGTTCTGTGGTCATTAAAGCTCAAATTAGACATTTTTACACTCTTCAATAGGTTTCTTCAAGGGTGCTTTAAAAAAAGGAATGGTTCTGTATAGAACCATGTCATGCTTAAATGGTTCTTTTCATGGTGAAATACTTTTTCAGATTGATGGAGAATGTGTTGTGTATGGTTCTAGATAGAAAAACGTCCTACATAGCTCCAAAATGGGCTCGTCTTTTGTTGCTATATAGAGACACTTTTTTGAAATTCTTTTTAGAACCATATACAACACATTCTCCATCAACCTGAAGAACGTTTTCACCATGCAAAGACCCATTTAAGCATGAAATAGTCCTATACAGAACCCACAGTTCTAAATAGAGCCATTCCCTTTACTAATGCACCCATGCAGAACCATTGTTTTTAAGCATGTAGATGGTTCATTCACTATGCATTAGGCTTTGTCCATTATGACCTGTATTAGTACATAACTGGAAATGGCTTTATTAACAATGAAGTTTTTTTAAGCTTTGCTCTGCAAATTATTGAGCATGAATTACCATCTAAATTCATGTCTTTTTAATGTATAATGGGCAACATTTAATTGCTATAGGTTATAGGCAGCATTCAGTTTATTGCTTGATTGAAGGTCATTAATTAAGAGCTAATAGCGAGTTTAGTAAGTCAATAATACTTCAAGATGTTTTCCATTTTCTAAAAAGCTGTTTTAGTCACTGAACTCATTGCACATTTAACATTACATGGAACACTGACTGTGAAGCAAAAGGCCATGAATAGGTATTGAATTTGTGACTTATTGAAAGACTGTTCATCATATTTAATTAGTGATGATGACTTATTAAACTTGTTAAGCTCTAAAATAATAAACTCCAGAACTCACCTGACACTTACAGCCCATAGGGATCAAATGCCATTTTACAGTAATACGATGTGAAGTTGTAATAATTCATTCTCTATAAAGTGCAGATTTTGACACAGTGTGTACTCTGTGCTATTACAACTAATTACAACTCATTGGTGGTTTTCACACAAGAGACCTCCAAATATGTACTAATACAGGTCACGATGGATGAAGCTTAATGCATAGAGAATGAACCATTTAGAAAGGTATAATTTGGGCTTTATTAAACTGAACTTAATAAAGGCCTTAATACAGTCTCTATAAAATAAACTGTTACTCTAATGTCTAAGTAGTATGATTTGTTTCCTCAACTAAAACGTTTTCACCTGATTGACATCATAAAGAAAAACGTGCCCCAAAAAGGGACCACATCCTTCAGCAGGCTGCCCCTGATTGGTCAGGAACTCAGCCCTGATTGGTCTAAGAGCTGTTTATTATCCAAAATCCCATGGCGCATAAGTTGCCAAAGCAATAACAAGTGATCAAAAACCCCAGGTTAGATCAAACTAAGCCTCAAGTTACTTCCATAAGCAGGAAATCCTACTTAGTAAGACAGCCCCCTGATCCTGCTGTTTATCAGAGCATCACTGCTCGCCAGTTTCAGTCTCCATTTCCCAAATGCTTTAGCCAAGAGTGCTAATGTTACGTCTCCTAATAAACAGACACACTTTCAGCTCTGTCTCCTCATTATTCACCACTATCACTGTAATATTTTATAATCAGCATTAACACACAAAGGAAATAAGAGGGGATGGTGGAGATCGAGTCTGCAGTGTCTGAGATTTTTACAACACAGAGTTAGAAAAGAAAAACATCGCACAGTGAAAGCAGCGTTTTACAGTATAAATAAATGTAGCGTCATTATGCGAGTAGTCAACTATGCTGCCTGACACAGCTGCCTAAAATTGATAGAAACAGATGCTTAAACAGAAGTTAGGTCACTGTTGGGGTTTATCTTAAAGTTAGGACAGTATTTAGGAGATCTATTTAGGAGATCTAGTTAGGATGTCTGTGTAATACTGTTCTCTCATTTGGAGTTAATGATAAGATAATGAATTTAGGAACTGTTCAGTCCATACTGAAGTCGTCATGGAGACTAAATAGATCAGATTTCAGAGTAAAGATGTTTCTGTAATACTGCATGTTTTTAGAAAATGTTGATAACAATAATTATAATAAATTTGATAATGATAATTTATTACTGTCTTGCAAAAACCTTCTATTTCCATTTTTGTCATTTATTTATTTTTTTATTCATTTACTTATGTTGTTTGCACAATTTGAAAACTTCAGATAACCTTTGAATTGTGTGAAAATGACATGATGAATGGATCAATAGAAATGGCTCAAAATTATTTGGGAAAAAAAAAAGAAAGAATAAAACATTTATATTAACTTCTACTACAACCAAACAAAAGTTTTTCCTTCTCCTGTAAAGTTATCATTTGGGAGATACGAAGTTTTGTTCTAACAAAGACAAAATGCTTCAAAAACATTGTATCAGTGAAATAACGGCTGCCATTAGCAATTTAGAAAGTACATGCCACTCTATTGCAGAGTGATCTATAACAGCTAAACATCTTGCAAAGTACTTCTCCATTTCAGACATCATTAACCAGGAAATGAATTAGCAGTTATGAACTAATTAATAATGTATTGCTCTGTTAGATTCTTTTCATTTGTATTTGGAAACCATTGATTAAATATCTCTTATGCATTTGTCTTATAATATCTCTATGATGCTACAGCCATTTGTGGCCAGAAATCCAAGAAAGCACAACTGGAATCTGGATGGGTTGGGATGGTCCTACCACCCCCCATCACTCAGCGAGACGCTGTCCAACACAGGGGCCTGTTAACTGATGTTAGAGAATTGGAAGTTAGTGTTCTCCTCCAAGCGTGTTGAGCCCTCCAATGACATTGCATTAGCGGCAGTTTGAAAAGATGCAGTGGAGCTTTACATTTCATGCTACCATTCACCCTCCATAATGCTGGTAGTACTGTGTGATTGGAGGAGGTCTAGCTGGTGGGCGGAACTGGACACACTACACTGGGGAGAAAATTGGGGAAAAACAAAAATCTCTTACGCAAAACCAAACAATTTGATTTAAAATATATTAGTGTGCATATTGTGTGAATACTGTGCATCAAAAGTTTGGGGATAACTACATTTTTAAAATAGTTTATAACACAAGTGAACATGTTTCCTTTGTCTGTTTGTAATAACAACATATCGCTGTTGTTGGAAGAAAACCTCACATCTCCAAAATCTCCATTTACAGGAGAAGGTAAAAACATACTTTATTTTTAATGTAAATCAATGGAACCAGACATTTTTCCAAGACATTTTGGGTCGTTTCTTGTGGTCCTTTTATCATGAAACGTTTTCTTCCAACCGCAGCAATATTTAAGATTTTTTTTTTTCTTATAAGAAAACCAATATCATGCATGTAAATGTCTGTAACAGTGTAGTTAGTGACAGTGCTAACTTGGGAACAATGCCACACATTTTATTTTATTTTGTTTTGATGTCAGCACTCACACATTTTAGGCGTTTAAAAAACCTTTGGGCCAAAAAGCTTCAAAATGTGCTCTTAACGATAGTTTGGACAATAAAACTGTCCTGCTCTTCATACCAAGGAAGACCCTGTGTCGAACCTGAAGCTGTTAAAGCATTATCACATACCTGCGTTATGTTAACAATAACGTTACAGCTATTTTCTCCTCATTATTTAAAGAAAAGCAATGACTCACTTCACACTTCTCTGGTCTCTTCCAGTACTTTCTCAGTGCAGAGGAAAGAGATGTCATTTAAAGTCACATTGAGGTTGTTAATGATGGCAGGGCGAAGCTGACGCCTCCGACATTTCCAGACTTATTCGAGAATTAGAAACGTATAAATCCTGATGAAATATAATATCAGTCATTCAATTTGATCATATTTAAAGCCGTGAGCATGAAATGGCTTCAGCACCGCGGGCTTCAAGCATGGGGAGATTGGCTTTTGCACCATTTCCGTTTTTGGAGTGAATTAATATGTCGAATTACCCTGATCAAAGCATGTGAGGAGAACACACACACACACACATGCACAGAAAAGGAGCTCAGCGATTTACTCAATGCACTAATTTCTTCTCATACATTTCCCTCTTTCTTCTGTTCGAGATCAAAGCTAGGTACACGGAGGAGCTAACCCTGGAGATAAACCCTAGTTCTCTCTCTCTCTCTCTCTTTCTCTTTCCTGCTCTCTTCCAGCACCTTTCACCCCAGTGTGATGCAGGAACTGAAAGAAAAAACATGTTATTTCCAACTAGAGACTTAACACTTAAACCTTGCTACATAACAATGACATAACCCTGCCATAAACATGTCATACATACATTTTTAAAGTAACACATTTTAAATGATGCTTAAACAAAAGCATACTTAATTGGAATCAACTTAAGCGTATTAATTATGAAGTATATTTTAAAACAGTGACTTTTAAAAGATGCTTCAGTACTTTTTTGCTGTATTTTAGATGCAACATAAAACTAACTAACAACTAAACACACATAAGTGAACATTCAAAATAATTTCAGATGTGGCAGAATTTGTGTATTAACATTTGCTGAAGTTAACTTCATTGCAACATAAGTTGTTCCAATTTAGAAGAGAAAAAAATATATATTTCAACATGATTTAAATATACGTTGTGTTCTGTTATTCCAAAAATATGTGTGCATACTTTTATAAAAGTGCACTTAAGTACATGTTTTACTTAATAAATGTGTTGAAGTGTATTTAGCGATACTGAAATATAATGTATAGTGCATTTTAGCTGTAAGCAGCATATATACAGTAAGATTTGAT